GTATGTATGTATGTATGTATGTATGTATGTACGTACGTATGTATGTAAATGTATGTATGTAAATGTATGTAAATGTATGTAAATGTATGTAAATGTATGTAAATGTATGTATGTATGTAATGTAATGTAATGTAATGTAATGTAATTAATGTAATGTAATGTAATGTATGTAATGTAATGTAATGTAATGTACTGTAATGTACTGTAATGTAATGTAATGTAATGTATTGTAATGTAATGTAATGTAATGTAAGTAATGTAATGTAATGTAATGTAATGTAAATGTAATGTAAATGTAATGTAATGTAAATGTAATGTAAATGTAAATGTAATGTAAATGTAATGTAATGTAATGTAATGTATGTATACACATACATGTATATCGTAACTGTAGGCAAGTCATGCATCATGCACCCCCAGGTACCCCCAGGTCACCAGGTCGGCCTCATTCCCAACATCCCAGCTGATCGAGGACGACCTCAAGGGCTTGGCTCATGGGATATGTCTGACCATAATACGGTACAAGTGTTCATGCTTGTGTCTGAAAATGGCACCCCCAAGTTCCGACCATTGGGGGGAAAATGGTGGTCAACCATAAATTTTGGGACATTTTGGGACAGATACCCCCTATTTTCAGACAACCCGGATCCCTACATGGCGCGCCAAGATGCCACCAATCGTTTGCCCAGGCGATCGGCAAAAGGATGGCAATCACCGTGAGAAAGCAAGTGGTGCCCACGCAGCACGCGCGGACCCTGCTCCACAGTTTCTGCTGGGATTCTACCATGGGAAAGCAGTGAGAAGTTGATTCAATGGCATGGAGCTTCAATATTCTGATGACAGACTGGAAGTCACTGGAGATATTGTGAGATATATATTTCTGGAAATCACCTTTATATAAATCACTTTTACACCCCTAACACTGCCACAGGCAATGCAAAAAACGATGGACTTCCGCCAGCTGCAATCAGCCCGCCCAGCCCAAAACTTTGCACCTCCAACCTGGGTGAAGGCCAGCCATGGAAGACAGCAATGAAACAATGCCATTCCATAGCAAAGACGAGTAACATCCATATAAACACATTAGATAAATTTCATGTACAGATTCATATCTATATATATATATACACACGCATGTATATGTATATATATATATATGCACAATATGTTCTGCTTTATGATGTTTTATGAGTTTTTATGTGTATGTGTATATATATATATATAGTATGTACACATGTGCACCTAAATTTTACATGGAACCTCACGGCCATATCATCCCATATCATATCCAATAGAAAAAAACCAGCTTTGGAACTCCCCCGGGGCCAGGCCAAAAAATGGTCCCAGCGCATGGCGATTTCGTTTCCTTTTTGAAAACAGGTCACCAGTCACTGTGGTGTACCTCTCCTTCTCAAATTCTCCTCGCCTGGCAAAAAGATAGCCACCAGGGGATTGGAGGGTATCCACAGCGTTTCCTAGACTATTCAAACATGGCGAGCTGGGAAATCTGCTAATGGAGTTTTAGAGCTGGGGAAATCATCTATGAATCTATAATTCATAGATTTTGGGAAAAATGTCAACGTGACACACTAAATGCAACTTGTTTTTACAGACAAAAAATTACAACATAGATCCGAATTCAAAGCAGTCCGTGTCATATTCTCTAAAGAGGATAAAGCAAATAAAACATGGGACTTGGCAGATGGAGCTGCAAGCTTCAGGACATGCCAGCAGTACCCAGCACCCACCATCTCCATGTTGGCGACTTGGGAGTAACTTCCGGCACCTCACATGACAAAATGTGGCAGCGCAGGGTGTTTCTGCAACCTTTGAAGAGATATAACGAAAGATATTACGAAAATGTGCGAAGACTGGCGCTGACTCGTTCCATTCCCACCCACACGCCTTCACCAACATACACCTTGGTACGCAAAGAGAAGAAGCACAATCCTTGCCTGTGTTCAATGTAAATACTTGTGCGACAAGCCCTCTGTCCTTCAACAGTCCACGAATAGGCTGAACATCAAATCTGTCTCTGCTTCTGTCTTCATTCTCTTTGTGAAATTTGAATTGGCTGATTGGACCGGTGGAGAACCATTTGACAAACCAGCATGATCAACGTGGGCATGTCTGAAAATGAGGTATACCGCAAAAAAAACATTTCGTTTTCAGTTTTCAGAGGCAAAATCCATGAACATGCTGTTATTATTGTCAATCCATGATAACAAATGATCCAAATAAATAGATAGCTCAGCACGGCACCCAGCGTTCTTCGTGCCTGACAGCCTCTGGGTCTGCCTCAAAACCTGGATCAACCATGAAGATCGTTGGTTTCCTTCAACCGTTGGAGATCCAAATCATCCAAAACGAGTCATGTTGATTAATGAAACCGATGGTTTAATTAACCATAAAATGGGGATTTGACAGCCAAAGACACGTCCAAATTAGGCATTTGGGACTTAATCAACCATTCGATAGGGATTTCGCCATTAAAAAAATGGGTCGAGACCTGTGATTTCTTTCTATCAATCAGAAATGAACATCCAGAACAACAGCTATTTTGGTGCGAAAAGCTGTGGGTTTTGCGGGGTTTTGATGGTTTTTTGTCTCCCCACATCCTCACAATGAAGCCAAGTGGCAGCAAGCGCCTCAGAGATGGACCACATGACTCTCTGTGATCGGTTCATTTCAGCATGATGACCAGTATATGGTATCCAGGACCATTAAACATCATTAGAGATAGAAATTGTGATTTTAGTTTTCCTGCATACGCATATATATATATATATATACAGATACATATATATATACATATGTGTGTATTAATTTTATGTTCTACATGTGTATTTGCACAATTGACTTTCAGAAGAGTGTCATTGCACGTTGTCTCGCGGAGGGTAGTTTTAAATCTCCACAGGAAAAAATATCAAGATGCCAATGATTTTAGTGATTCCCTAAAAACAAAGGTATAACCATCACTATATAAGCACCCATTGAAATCACATTAAAGTCCCATTGAACCGCCATTGTTGATGAAGTCTCATAAAACCACCCAGTCAGTCCCATTAGAGTGCCATTAAAGACCCATTAAGATCATATCCCGCCAAAGAAATATTGGAATATTTCACAATCAACTCATCCGCATCCGCCGCATCCGCCCTGCTGTCAAAAGACCGCAAGCATCGCCGCCTGTGGACGGAGGTGAATCAACACATCACAAGATGGGGTATGAAACCAACCAGAATGTGGAGATCATGGGGGATATATATATATATATGGTTGTTGGGGTTGGCTATATCATTGTGCTATTACATGTATTTAAATGTTTTTTAATATACTATATTTATATATATATATATATATATATTATAAAATATTGACATGGGTCTGAGGTTGTCTGATAGTTGGATTCTTGCCACCCCAAAATAGTGTTGATTTAATATGGAAAAATGACAGTCCTTGCAACAAACCCAAATGCTGTTGTCGACCATTTGGAATACAGCACTTAGCCCCTTTGTCTGTTCGGTCTGAAGGTTCGTACAATGATGATCCTCACAACATTACCATGAATTGAACTCTAATATCACTTTTAAGTGTCATCCTCACTATAGTATCACTATTCGCTGTTTTACGTCCATCATAATTCTAGTGGATAATCGATGAACAATAGTATATGATGGTAATTGAATAGTATCTATGTTTATTGCCATATATCACTCATCAATATCACTATAGTTCTTACACTAATATCATTTTAGTATCACTGATTCAAGCACATTAATGGTTGGACATCATAATCATTCATGATCATGATAGGATTCAAGTATCACTCACCTATAATATAAGATTATAGTATATTATAGTGTCCATTATAGTATCTTATATTATAGTATCACTAAAATACTATTATAGTATACTATATATAATCCCTATAATATACTATTATAGTGTAGTATCACTAATCACAATATCCATCAATATCCACTGTGTCATGATCCCACCATCAGTTCTGAAAGCCTCCTGCTGCTGCTCCGCCGTGGCCGCCAGCGCCAGCGCCGCCAGCGACGACAAACTTGCCGCCCCTGAGGTCCCCGGAGATCCACGGGAAATTCACGGGAAATTCACGGGAAATCCCTACTCCGGGTGAAACAAATCTCCATTTATGGGAAAGCCATGGAAAGCCCCAAGTCAAGCTGGAGATTGCCTACACAGAATCCATCAGAATCCAATCTGACCAGACTCAAACCGCAGAATTGCATTCCCCTCAGCCATTGAGGTGACTCTCCAAACACCGATCACACCCGTGGCTGTACAGCAGGCACCTGCCGCCGACTGTCATGGCTTTCCACAAAGGAGTTTACAGCTCAACTTGTTTGAGCAATACTGCGGGGATCATGCAATCAGTTGAGTACATTATCTCACAGGAGTCTTATGCCATGTTTTGCTATGTCATAGTTGTCAAACACTATTGATTCTCAACCCCGGATTCATGAACAACGTGGTTGTTTCAGCAGTTCAAGCTCTACCTCTACCTGTTCCGGTCTTGATTCAGTATCTCGCGCTGGAGGTATCATGAGGTACCCCTTTAAAAATACAGCCAGGATCATTCATCCAGGAAACACAACCTGACCTAGTTTCACAAGTGCTAACTCATTCCTCTCATGCCCCCAAAATGATGCCAGGGAATATTGAAAACCAGCAGAATACCCTTGGCGGATGTTCCAGAAGATTCCAAGAGACCGGAACCACGCAATTTTTGGATCTTCTGCGAAAAAAGCGATGATTTCAAGCATCGGCAACATTGTTGCGAGCTTTTAAGATTCTACGCGCGCTGATCCTGGTCGTTGAGAACCTTTCGGATTCACCCAGTCTATGGGCTAGTCTCTATGGCCTCTATGGCTAAGAGGTCAGGCAGCATCTCCACGGAACAGTTTTCTCTCTCCACCCGAGATGGGGAGATCGCTATCGGCTATCAACGCTATCAATATCTTTCAATGGGA